ATGACATTAACGCTCACTCCAGCTTCACGTAAGCAAAAACTTTTCAGAGGGGTTTAGAATATGACCTTGCAGTACACACACGCCTCTGTGAGTCATCACACGGTCGTGTCAGTCACTGGTCCTCAACCTGCACGTCCCTCGGAACATCTCCGAACTTCAAAAAGCGGTGACCCCAGGCCCCTCTGAACTGAGCCAGGATCTCGAGAAGCAGCAGGTTTCTGAAAGGCTTCCGATCATGGCACGTGCAGCCCAGGCTGAGGACCCTGATGTGTGCCCTCCTGCTCTGATGTGTACTTACATTTACCTGGCTTGAATGTTTTTAAAATATTTTTCCTTTATTGATTTTAGGGAGAGAGGAAGTGAGAGGGAGAGAGAGAGAGAGAGAGAGAGAGAGAGAGAATCATCAATGAGAGAGAACATCGACTGGCCGCCTCCTGCATGCCCCCCACTGGGGATCGGGCCCACAACCTGGGCATGTGTCTTGGCCGGAATCGAACCGGCGACTTCTTGGTGCAGGGGTCAATGCTCAACCACTGAGCCACACCAGCCGGGCTTGATTTGACTTTTTTTTGTTATTGTTAATATAAATCACATCTAAATGTACTCCCTTTTCAAAGAATGTTACAAACAAAACAGAACCCTGACAGAGCAGGGTGGCAGTTCTTCACAGCAAGGGGACGACGGGGGGAAGGGCACTGTGGAAGGAAGGACACCTGGAAAGGGAGGCTGGTGTTGTCCTGTCTGTTTTTATATCATGTAGCACAATTAGACTTTAATAAGAAAGTGTGTATGGCCCATGTTCTGGTCTTGGTCCTACCCTTCATTCAAATCCCAATCTCATATTTACATTACATCACAGGACGCTGCTATTGACTGTGAGTCTGAATGAACCTGTCTTGACGTGACAAGAACTCATTGAAATTTGATGGAATTAGTGTTTCTAGTGAAACTCAAACTTTTCAGTATCTTAGGTTCATTTAGCGATTTTCAGCCCATGTGCCACAAGAATTTTTAAAACATGCTATACCTGACTATTTACTCAGGGGCTCTGGTACCTCTTTTCCCTTAGATTGTAAAAAAAAAAATACAATAGCTAACATATTAATAGCTGTTTGATGTGAACTATAATACATTTTTTGGTGTGCCTCAGAATTTTAGTAATTAGTTTATGTGTGCCATAAAATGTAAAATATTGAAAATCACTGAGTTAGTTTATTCTTGGCGGCAACATAACTTTTGTGTTTAAGAGAAATTATTTAAAATGAGACTATAAAAGAGTTCAAAAGACTTGGACATCTTTTAGTTCATAAGCTACATAAATATTATTATGAGACTATAAAGGAATCAAGCATATGGATTACATTTACATTTAAATACAGTAGGGTTTTAAAATAAAGGAGCAAGAAAGCTTTAAAAAAAACTCAATTTGATTTTCTCAGACCTTAATATTTGAAAATTAGTTCAGACTTCTTATAAACACCAAGAGCTAAAGGGTATGCTCACGCCTGCAGAATTGAACGATGCTATACAAGCTAAGAGCTGTCACCAGGGGTGTCTGATTAAGGAGCAAAGGAAGCCAAAAGAAATGCCACTCATCCACCTGGAGAAACAGCATTTAGGCTTCCTGACAGCGCCGTGTTCTTGCAGCCTGGGCCTCTGAGATCAGTGGCCGTGGGCAGGCCACCAGCCAGGGCCCTGACAAGCTAGATGTATGGCTGTCTGTCGGTTCCAAATCTCTGTAAGTCCATACACTGCCCAGCCCAACAAGATGACGAGGAGACACATTATTTTAGTTGTCAGGGTTATCTCTGTCACTCCGGGAGAAAAAGTCTGTGTGAACTTAGTTAACTATGTTCTTCATTTTTAAACTAAGTATAGGTGACAAAGAGCTGTAGCGAAAGGGTTTGAGGACCCTGTGTCCCCATGAGGCCTATGGAGGCAGTGTGTTGTAACAGCCAATGAACACAGGTGACCCTTGAGTTCTGACAATTTGAATTAGAATCTTGCTTTGAGCGCTAACTTTATCATCTAGAGAATAAACAACAATTACCACCATTATTACAATAATCAATATTGAGAAAATCTTTGTTGATCCTTATAAGGATTAGACTTGGGAAATTAAGATGTGTGCATTGGCAAAAATGCCACAATCTGACGAAAATTTGGCTGCTCCTACAGAACTGGAAAGCCCAAGAGCTCCCAAATCAGTTCTTTTTTAAAGTTCTGTAATGAAATTAACAAAGTGTAGCATCATTCAGATCTTATCTTTCCATTGGCTTCAGTATTTGTGTCATTGTGACATGTAAGGAATGTTTTCTGCAATTATGTATAGTCCTTTCCTCTCCTACACATGATCCCAAAGCACAGAAATCCACAGGCTACGCTGTGATTAGATGGTTTTACTTCTTGTCTCTGTTTCTTTGACCAGATAGCCTTTCATGAAGAGAAGTAAGAGAGAGTTCGAGTAAGGATTTCCTTTCTTGAGATGTAAAAAAGCAAAAGGGAGAATCAAATAACCTTTAGAACTCTCTGGACAACAAACACAAGTTTGTTATAAAGTACCCTGAACACTGTCCTATTGACTAAGGATAATAAAAAGATAATTTTAGGGAAATTAAAAAGTCTCAGCACAAAAATTTTATCTGATAGAAAAAGATTTTTTTTTTAGTGAATGGCCTCATATCATCCCTTAGCGGGGCAGCACTCTGGGGTCGGGTGCATTTATATAGTTTGTTATTCTGATATTGTGAACTGAACCATATAAAGAACACTTTTACAAATGAAGAATACTTACACCTAAAATCGATGCCAACATTAATAACTTAAGTATTTCAATGTGCCGTGGCCAAAGTTCCATATTTTAGCTACCTTAGCAAGAAAACCCAAGAAAATCAATTTGCATCTAAAAGCTCCTTCATGGAGTTGGCTTGGTTTTGTGGCAAGAATCCCAGCTGGCTTGGAGAAGCAGAAGTAGGAGCCTGCTCACAGAGGATTGTTTGGTCCCAGCTGAATAACCTGCTGGCATCTGCTGTTAGCAGAGTGGTAAGCAGATTATGGGTAAGCAGATATTAATATTCTGATCAAACATTTTAAAACCTCATACTGCTATTAAAAAAAATAACTGCACTGCTCTGAGAGAACTCATATTTATCATTCTGAAGCCACTTTTAGCCTTAATTTTTGAAAATTCATAATCTTAAAATCTCTACCTATAGTTTATTTTCCAGAATCAAAACTTTTTCTCTTAACTGCCGTAAGACACTGCAATGTCTAAAACTCATGTGAATGAATGGCTTTCCTAGTTAATTTTAGTGGTTTTCAGTCTTTACATTACAGTGTCTTCCCCCCCAGGTCTCCTTCCAAGAAAGATAGGGCTGACTCGCCTTTGACCTCCGCTCCACAAGGGCTGAGCACAGCCTTGGCAGCCACCCTGGAAAGACTTCTTGTTCCTGAAGATCCATTCATTTAGCAAACCCAACAGACTTCATAACAGAAGCTATGAAAGAGACATTTGCAGCAAGCATTCTGAAGTTATGAAGCAACCAGTTTACTAGACCACAGAAAGTTCTAACACCATCTATCAAGTGGAGTATTCAATTCGGCACAATATCAGGGAAAGTTACTGATCGTCGGTAATTGAAGTCTGCAAGGTACATACAAGTCTTTAAAAATCAAGAGTCAAAACTACTAGGTTACCACAACTTATTTCTGGGTCCAGACTGAGAATCTGTTCATTTCTTAGGTGGTAACTAAATGGGGCAATTGTGTTGGAGAGAAAATGTGGAATGAACGTCTCACGCTGACTATGGACATGAAACCGTGACTTCCCATTGGACCCGTTAGGTTGATGAGGACCTAAAGCTCGAGGAGATGGAGACTCTAGGCACCGACTGCCCAGAGCGGTCACGCTGACGGGAGATGTGGCCGCAGGGGTGTAGGGTCAGAACATCCGCAGTTCTACAGTGAGGGGAAAGGGAGGAGCCCAGAGAAGAAAATCTCCAGTTTCACCCCCAGCATCTTCTCCCCCTATCCAAGCTTCATACTTTCTCGAGAATTCTTTTCTACCTCTACCACTGACCAACTCAGAAACACTGTTGGGGAGATGGAGAGCAATAAGGTCCAGAGACTCCTCATGGTCAGCTCAGGGGCCCTTCCAAACACACCCCGACTCCTGCACCTTCTTCCAGCAGCCAGAACTGGGGACAGTGGTGGGAAATCCCACAGTGCCTAGCAGCCCCTCTGTGGAGCGGGCCCACTCCCGTAATGGGGCAGGTATGAGGGGTAAGGACTCAATGCCCCCGCTAAGGCTGCAGAAGACGGGGCCGCTCCCTGCGGGCATGAAGCGTGAAGGGAAGAAGTGTGGGCACAGGTGCAGGCTGGAGCGGGCAGGGGCCGCGTCCTAACTTATGCACGGATGGTAAGGACCTCTGGCTCCCAGCCATCAGCGCTTGTCTCCCTCCGGTCACGGGCAGGGGTCCCAAAGGGAGGCCCTCTGCCATAACCTCCGCTGAGGAGGGCCTGGCCGCCGCAGGGCAGGCAGCGTGGCTGCGACCTGCACACACAGGGGTCCACCTGTCTCTCCCCAAGTCCGACCCGCCGACGGCTGCCCTCCCAGCCTGGCATATGCTCGCCGGTCTTCTCTTGGCTCTCCCTCCCACACACGCAGTGGACATTTTCCGTGGAAAAGGCAACGTTGGGAGAGGGGCAGCCCTCGCGGAGGGCCCCTGGGGCGGCGGTGGGTGGCGGCAGGGCCGGGCCGCTCAGGTGAGCGGGGACAGCGCCCGCGCCTGGGCACCGTGTCCCGGCTCCTGGCCCCGTGCAGCGCCCGGGCGGCTCCTGCGAGCACCGGCCGAGCCCACACCCACGGGCGCGGGCTTGCTGCGGGCGGCCGGCGGGGAGGGAGCGCAGCCACCCAGCCCGCTCGGACCCCGGGGAGCGCGGGGGGCGGGACGGGACCGGCCGCCTCCACCCACCGGCTCCGGCTCCGCCGCGGCACTGACCTGCCAGCCGCCTCTCGCGGACGCTCTTCCACAGCAGGCCCCAGGCTCGGGCCGTGGAGTCCCGCAGCTGCTCGCTGATGGAGCGCCTGAGCGGCGTCGGGACGGGTCTCCGCGCGCTGGTCATTTCAGATCCTCTTCATACTCCGCGGGCTCGCCGCCGCCTCCGCCGCCGCTCCTGGCCGCAGTCAGAGCGCCGGCGGCTGGACACGCCGGGCGCAGGGCTCCGACCGCGGTCCCGGGACCCGCCGGGGGCGCCGCATGGGCCCGCCGTCCGTCCGTCCGTCCCGCGCTGGGCCGGCAGCGCGCGCGAGCGCCCGCGGTTATCCTGCGCTCCTCGACTCGTCCTTCCCCGCTTCCCTCCCGCCGTCCTCGCTCCCTCCCCTCCCCGCCCTCCCGGACCGCAGCCCGCTCCTTCCGAGAGCTCCCCTCCCTCCGCCTCCGCCCCAACCCCGCGTCCCCGGGACCGGACGAGCTGCCACCCCGGTTCAGTTTCAGGGGGAGCTCAGGGGCTGGGCCCTATTCCTGCTACTTCTTGATAGTTTCTATTTTTCAGGCTTAGAAACTTCCATCACCACAACCATACAAAAATGTTACACCATGCCACAGCTAGGGCTATTAATAACCCATCCTATTCTTCCAGCTACTCGGTTTGGATGGTTTAATTGGAGCTCAGTTTTGGTGCGCTTGTATTTTATGTTAATTTTTCCTGGTTTCATCCATTAAATAATAATCTGGCTGCAATTTACAATCAAATTTACATGGCTTTAGAGAGTCAAACTATAATACCATGGGGGACCCCAGAGAGTACATTTCTATGCTCTGGTAAAGCACTAAAACCTGTATGCAGTCTGAAAAGTAAGGTATTATGAAAAAGTTAAATCTGAAAAAAGAATTTTAAGATTTTTAGCCAATAACAGAAAGTGAGTTTATCATTAGAAATTAATGTATTCATGCAGGGAAGAGGGAGGGAATGTGCTGGCCCTTTAAGAAGTCACCTGGGCTGGCCTCCCTGAGGAGGTGGCTGGCAGTCATTTTCTGGGCTCCAAAGCCTCACTCCTAGAATTCAGAACTAGCTCAGACCCCAGGATGTCCTGCTGTTCTCAAGGTGTCGCTTCCAAAGTGCTTGAAGAGCCGTAGAGAAGAAAGTAATTAGGACATCTGATGTATCAATTACATCTGAAGTTTGGCAATAGGAGTTGAAATATTTCAAGAGAATTTCTGAATTATTTAAAACAGTTAAACTGTTTAAATCTCATTTCTTTTTAAATGTCTTTGAACCAGACTGCCAAGTAGAAACCAAGTCTAGTTAGCTGTTTTGTCATTTTTGTATGTTGTTTGTTGGCGTTTTAAATCTCAGGTGCTCCATGTGAAGTTTGAAAATTAAAGGAAAGTATCCAGTTCTCCCTCTAGTATATAAATTACTACTGACTTAAGGAGTAAAGACAGCTAGCTACCTTAAGTATTCCCTCTACAGTTACATTTTTTATTATCTTATTTTTTTTTATTTTGTTGTTTTAAATATTCAAAATGTTCACTAGTGAAACATTTTAGAATGTGCTAGAAGGTAATGATTGAGCTTTTTTGTGCCACCCTGGTAAACCGTTGAAATTGTCAGTTATGAAGCAATAAGTCATGGATCAGGAATGGACTTGAAACTGTGGCCGCCAATTACAGACTAATCCAGACTGCTTTCTGGACTCGTGCCAAATACCCTTTTGCTTCCATCCTCATGTAGTGGTCAGGAACTACTTTGCAAGGAGCAAGATCTGTGTTATCTGGAAGTGACTGCTGTACAGTCTAAGAACAAATGCACTTCCAGGGAAGCTGTGTAATCTCAAAAAAAAAAAAGCATCTCTCATGGCACCAAACTGAGGCAACAGTTGTAACATAGACACAGGACTGATCTGTGAACTCCAAAGATCCCGGACCCCTATTATTTTCTATTTTAATACATATTCTATATTCAGGTGCCACAGGCTAGGGGTTTCCCTGGGAAGATTAATTTGAAGAATTCTGGCTTTACAAGTCGGCTTCGCGCTGGCTGTGGGAGTCTAGAAATCCGGGACTGTCCAGAGAAGCCAGGTGAGAGACAAGTGATCTGCTCTGAACAGTTGCGGCCTCCGCAGCCTGTGCCGTGACCTGGCGCTGGTCCTGCTGTAGAAAATCTCACAGCTGTGCAGAGCAGCCGCCACAGATGCGAGGATTTCAAACTCACTGGAAAGCCGGGGGCTGCTCGGAGACTTTTACACAGGTCTTTGGACAGCATCCACTCCCATTCTCCATAGCCCTGTTTCAAAGCCAAAGGACCTCTCCCCTCCTCCCAGAGTCTTCACCTTGAGCAGCTGGCAGCATTGCTGATGTTCAAAGGAAAGAAATCAGGTAACTCCTGGCTTCTGCTTCCTTCTTACCTTCCCTCCCATCACCGCAGAAGAGGGGGTCTCTCTTCCTACCCAAGGCCCAGTCCTTGACCGGTGCTCTGCTCACCATTCCTTCCGGTCCCTATAAAGTCCTTTGCTACACTAGTTATTTCCTTTCTCTCCTACAGCCTGCCCCCTGCCCCCATCTCATAGGCTCAATCCTCAAGGCTCACCTTTCTTTAAACCGAACCAAAACAAAGACAACCATAACAAAGCAGGCTGCCTCCACCCTGTATCTCTTGGGAAGGATGCTTTCCCCTATGCACACTGCAATCTGGTCTCCCTCACTATGACACGAAAGCATGTCTTGCCAAGGCCACCAATAATTGTCCGATTGCTAAATCTGATGGACATTCCAGCTGTTTTCCTTGGTGGGCATGTGGATGATGGAGCCCTGCTGACAAGCCCTTCCTCCTGACCCTGCCCAGTCCCCTGACTGTCGGGCTACCCCTCCCCGGTCTCCTCACTCCATGTCCATGTGGACGCAGTGTCTATCTTCAGAGCATCTCCTCTGTCCGTCAAATGATAGCATTCCCTGGGCTTCACTTCTCAGTCCCCAGCCCCCCACTTTTTCCTCATGCTTCAGCACTCTGGGTAATGACACTCCTTACCGTGGGTTCAACCCTCAGCTCTCAGGGCCCAGCTTGGAACAGACAGAAGCATGTGTGCTCTTTAAGAGTATGGCTGGAGGCAGAGTTGAGTTTGGCCATATGTCTGCCCTCAGCACTACCTACTCATAGGGTTGTATTGTGGATTAAGTGAAACAGTCCACTTGGCACAAATAAAGGATTCAATCAATGCTCCCATCAATAATATTATCATCACATCACTGTCCTACTCAAATTTTCCCTGAGCCCTTACAAAAGGCCTTTCCTGACTTGAAGTCTATTCCATGACTCCTCCGAATGGTTTAATTTTCACTGAACTCTAGTCCTTACTCTTTCCCACTCCTGCACATTGTCTCATTATTTGTTTGTGGTCTGTCTCCCCGGCCAACGGGGGCAGAGGCCTCGTCGGTCTAATTCACCATTGTGTTCTCTGCACCTGGGACAGCCCCCGACAGTCTTGCTCAGTAAGAGCTTGTAGATCAAATGAATGATTGTGGTCCAATGCCACATATTTCTACCTTACTGATGGATGTTTCTAAATGCTTCCTCTAAACCTGCTCCTCCTTTTCTCTTCATATGTTCACCAAGTGATGCTGCCCACCGTCTCGTGTCCAAGCGAGACATCTAGAAGACATTCTACATCCCAAAATTCTTTCCCTTGCTTCTTCAATCTTCCTGTCTCCATTTCCATAGTGACTGGTTTAGTTCCGTTTTTCTTCTTTCCGCCCTTGATTTCAGCATAATGAGATTTACATTAAAAGCTACTGCTCTCACTGAGCTCTAGTCTTTATGCATTCCACTAATTAAACGTCTGATTTTTCCCTTCCCTCATCCTTCAAGATTCAACTCAGATGTCACCTTCTCCTGACAGCCTTCACAAACCCCAGGGGCGGATGGTCCTCTGTCCTGTGTGCCTCGGGCCTCGGGCCGGCCTCTGGAGCAGCACTCCCCACAGAGCACCCTGGGAACTCGTCTCTTTCCCCTCGGGTCCCCACTGGTCCCCAGTTTCTCCAGCTGGGACTAGAACTTTTACTTCTGAGCCCTTCGTGCCTTTCTCAGTGAACAGAGAACAGCAGGTTCATTTACCAACACAGTGAATCTCCCACTACATTTTGGGCAGCTGGCTATTTCTAGGGTCTGCTCCTGAGTATAAATGAACATTAAATTACGCTTGTAGTGCCATTAACTATCATTCTCTCTTAAAGTTTAAATTTAATATAGAAGTAATGCATATATATGAGTATAGCATTTTAAACACATAAAATTATAAATAGAAACATTAAAATCACCTATAACACCCTGGCCGGTTTGGTTCAGCGATTAGAGCATCTGCTGACCAGAGACTCCCAATTTCGGTTCCCATTCAGGCCATATACCTCGGCTGCAGTTTGTCCCTGGTCCCGGTTGGGGTCGTGTGGGTGGTCGGCCGATGTTCTCTCTCACATCGATGTTTCTCTCTCTCCCTCCCGCTTTATCTGAAGATAAATGCAAAAATGTCCTCGAGGGAGGATAAAAAAAAATCACCTGTCATGTTACCAGGAAGGAACTGATAACATTTGAAAATTTTCTTTTTCATTTTTTCTTTCCATATTTAAAAAAATTATAATACATTTCATATCAAATTTTGAAATTTGTAGCTTTAGATTGTGAGCATTTCCCCAACTTATTGTTATCTTTTAAAATACAGTTTTTAATAAATACAAAAAATTCTGTTGGATGGACATACCATAATTTATTTTTTTTGACGTTTAATTTTAAATTTCTGAAATTACAAATAATACTGTGATGAACCTCTGGTAAGTAGAAAAAAAATGTTCTTTTCCTTCTCCTTCCCTTTATGCTATGTCAGCAAGGCCCATCACCACTGCACCGCAGCACCCACAGAACCTGCAGCACCCACTGCACCCACAGCACCCGCAGCACCCTCTGCACCCGCAGCACCCTCTGCACCCACAGCAACCTCAGCACCCTCAGCACTCACAGCACCTGCTGCACCTGCAGAACCCACTGTACCCACAGCACCCACTGCACCCACAGCATCCACAGCACCCACTGCACCCACAGCACCCACTGCACCCGCAGCACCCTCTGCACCCACA